TGTGGATGAGCAAATGTTGCCAAATGCAACACGAAAGGAACTGACCACGATGGTGTGTTTGAGCGGTCCAAATCAACAATCAGAGCAGCACAGCCCATCTGTGACCAGAGTGTACCCCTCTCTTGATTAGCTCTCTTGATTAGCTCAAATTTATTGAGCCATGAAGTGATAACACAAGTGCTTTTATCTGGTGGTTGACTGAATGAGATCAGACATGAAAAGGCCTGTTATGAATGTGCTTCATGCGACACACACACATCCACAAACACACACTTCTCTTTTTGGCCTGGTGCAGTGTGGTTCCTTTGGTCGCCAAAATCATCAGTAGATATCTTCAAGCTCGGAGCTGTATGAATGCTCTTTTTTCCTCCCTCCTTCCACAATGTGATGTGTTTCCTTTTTTGTGTGTTTTTTGATCCCTCTCTTGCGGCCAGGCTGCGCTGTGGTGAGGCGCGGGGTTCGAGTGGCGCTCCTGTGTTATTTTTGGCAGCAGCAGTGGTTGGTGGCTGCTGTGGAGAGAGGAGACAGGAGGGGTATCATATAAGGACCATAACCCAGGCTGTTTAAGGGATTGCTGTCTGAAGGAATTGCTTTGTAATGATCAGACACTAATCGGGGTGTCATTGTGCATTCGTTTACACAAGCAGAGGGCTGGTCTGCACATTTATTCTTTCTGACACTTCATCTAAATGTTCTCATTCACAGACCACATGCCCAGAGTTGTTAAACGACTTAACCTTTAAAATCCTGACTTCATGAACTCAGCTTCATCCACTGGCATCTAGATATGGTTGAATCTTGCTGTTTCTGTCACATGGAAACTACGTTTTTGTTTGTCAACCACTTCAGTAAAGCACTCCATCCTCTGTGGGAGATTCAGACAGAGACACGCCTGCAGTAAGTGTAAAACATTCACGCTCCTCCCTTTTTTGTTTCTGAAAACACCATTTGAAAAAGATTTCCTCAGAGTCTTTTCTTGGCCACAGATCAAGATACCATTATTACTCTGCTTTATTTATTTAAATGTTGTGGTGGTGATGTGTGCGGATGTATGTGTGTGAGCGAGACGTAATTGTGTGTGTGTGTGTGTGTGTGTGTGTGTGTTAGAAAGAGAACCCACAAGATATTTCAATTTCTTCAGAATATTAAATAAACACGCTACAGCTTCAGTGAAGCTCTGACTGCCAGTGAGGTTTTTGGACTGGATGGGTGGCGGAGCTGATGGGGAGATGGTGTGTGTGTGTGTGTGTGGGGGGGGGGGGGGGGGGGGGGGGGTTGTGGCCATGGCTCTGGGGGGTGGAGGCAGCTCATGGTCAGAGCCCCCACCGGACACACTGGCGCCTCTCGCTGGAGGACTTCTGAACCACCACACTCCTCCACCAAAACCCTGCCAACCCTGGCTCCCTGCTTCTACTTCCAACCCAAATCACTCACTTCTTCGTTCTGACCCCCCCCCCCCCCCTTCAGTTTCCTCATTCTCTTGATCCAAATCCAGATTCATGTACCATTTGGCTGCAGCCACTCTTCTCTTTCTGTGGCTGTTTTTTGTTACCTTTTTCTTCCGTGTGTTTTGTGTTTGTGCACCTCCCTCTACCACCTCCTCCTCCTCCTCCATCACTTCCCAGGAAGTGTTTAGTGGCTTCAGCTGAAATAAAACACAAAGAGCAAACAAGAGTGATTTAAAATACACGTGAGCGTTTTTAATAATAATAATAAGATAAAACACTGACATTCCTCTGGTTATGTGGGAGGCTATTAGCTTATAATGAGCCATCAATATTCCCAGTGGTTTTCCATCATAAATCCCAAGAGATATCAGACTTCTATTGCCCCTGGAAAAGTCTCACAGGTCCACGTCTATAGCAGAGTCCTTGCAGACCTCAAAACTCACTTTTTCTGAACCAATCTTCTCCTGATCAGATTAGAGAATTAGAGACCAATAGATCATTTCTGTGTTGTTTGACAGTTTTACTTTAAATTCTACTTTTTTAACCTTCTTTTTCTTTTTGTATTCACTTATTTAAACTGTAATTCATCCTCAAGTGTTGTAAAAAGTTCCTAAATTCATTCTTTTTATGACAAAAAGAATCTGCATTGCAGTAAAAACTGCATAAGCCATACCCATAATTTCAGATTCTGTAAATTCACATTAAAACCTTTAAACTTCATATTGTGCTTCACCAAAACAAAGCAAAAGTCATGAAGCAAAGTGGTAGTTGAAACCTTTTGAGTAAATGTTTTGTAGAGAATCCCGATCCACCCTGAATGGGAAGTATGGGTGTCAAACATCTTAAGCAGACCAGATATGTCTTTCCGTGTCACACGTCTTAACTTAATTTTCCCCTGGAAGCAATTTGTCATCCGGAGGCTATTAAATGGGAAGCATATTATCTTTTTAAAGGGGCACCGAGTCACCCACAACACTCCCACAGCTCCTATAAACAAAACTGTCCTGTTTAGTTGTGCACTGGGCAGTAAAGGACTCCGTTTCAAACTTTAAAGTAAGCATTATTATTATTATTATTATTATTATTAGAGGTGGACATCTGAGGATGCTTGATTTCTTAGTTCAAATAAAAAAATGAACATCATTTGATTGAGCTGTGATAGCTCTAAACTACAACTTCTTTGCCCTTTTACCTTTTGCCCCGTCTTATCTCATGTTTTTTCCTCCTGGTCTTTGTTTCAGCCAGCCCGACCTCTTCGGTTCTCCAGGTCACGTTATGGTTGACTCCAGTCTCCACCATTTTTACCACACTCATCCTTATCTTTAGCCTCAGGGCATGGTGACATTCTTTCCCCGTTCCCCTCCAGTTCTCCATCACAGAAAGCCAGTCACACCTGCAGACACCTGTGCTTTTGTTCCCCCTCTATCCCGTATGCACTGGGAGGAAGAGGAGCTCATGCCTGTGGCTATGCTAAAACACAGCCAACTGTTTTATATGATTAGTCACTTAGGATCAGATAATAGCAGGAAAAGAGGTTAATTAGCATTTTGTTCTGTTCATTATGATGAGGGCTTGTCTTCCAAAGAGCTGCAATCCGACCCGCTTCAGGAGAAACTCGTTAAAATAAAGTCACTCATCAAGTCGGAGCTTAACCAAACACAGCTTGGGAGAATATTTTGAAGTTTATCTTCTGTTAGTTGGCCTGGAAGTGATGTATTAACAGGTGTTTGTGTAGGATCTTCTGAAACAACCTTTTTTTTTTGTCCCATTAAATCTGGAGCCGTTTGATTTTTTGTGAATGGAGTAGGGCTGCTTGTGGGCAAACCATATGGAACAGATTGTCCAGCCTCTGCCGTTACGTGTCAGAGCATGTATGTCTTTCTTTTTATGACCTTGTTTGAAGCAACACTTAATGTTTCCTGGCTTTCTAAATAAAAGGAGCAAAAATAAAGCCAAGGTTAGAGCCACCACCGCTGCAGAGAGGGTGTATTTTAGAAAAGGCAGAAAATACCAGTAGCAACAGAGGTTTTATAAGCCACTGACCATTCCCCTCCAGCCTCATATGCTGGCCCGACACACCCTGCCCATACCCCGTTCCCAGCATTAACCTTTTAAGCTGTAGACTCAACTGTGTGCCCACTTCAGACCACCATAAACATATTGGTCCCTGATGACTACGTTGGCCCCAGGACGTTTTATATAAACTGACCTCAACTACAGCTCATTAGAAGCCCAAATTGGAACCATGCAGCCTGGGATGTGTAAATGTTACAACAGCAGAGCCGGCGGCTTCCAGCTGTATACCCGTCTCCCCTTCACCTCTCTGGTGCCATCAGTTTGTTTCCCTTCATAAAACACATGGAGAAAAAGATAAAACTTTAATTCTTTGATATTTTTGTCACTTTTTTAAGGGAAATCATCTGTTTGGTGATAACAGGTCAGAGAGATGTTCTTCGGATGAACTGCTCCACACTGAGGCTTCTTTTACTCTGTCAGCATGGGAAGGTGTGTTTTTTCTGGAGCTGATTAGGAATAAAGGACGTCTAAGGCTTCGCCCAGAGGAGTGACAGACTATTTAGCACATGCAAAATTTGCAGCTTTTTTTACATGATGCTGCATCTGAACTTTAATATTCTGATCACCTTAAAGCTGTTAAAAACGACTGGATTTAATGGAAGAAATACTTCCTCACCAGAATCAGGACAGCAGTAGCTCAGGAGGTAGAGCAGGTTGTTCTGTAATCGGAAGGTTGCAGGTTTGATCCTGGCTCCAACCAGAGAACACTGCTGTTGTGTCCTTGGGCAAGACACTTAAACTGCCTTGTCTGCTGGTGGTGGTCGGAGGGACCGGTGACGCCAGTGCGAGTGCACTCCAGGGCAGCTGTGGCTAGTAGCTCATCACCACCAGTGTGAGAATGTATGTGTGAATGGGTAAAGCGCCTTGGGGGGTTGTAGAACCCTAGGAAGGTAGCTATACAAATACAGGCCATTTCTAGGACTTTTCTTTAGGCAGTGTGAGAATTTTCAGTTAAACATACAGACTTGAGTCCAAGTAGCCACTCCCCAATCCCTAAACCTGGTTTTTATTCAAACACTGACAACAAGACAAACAAAAAGAGGCTCAAATCCACTTATAGCAACTCCTAATTTCTGCAAATGTCATCAAGAAAGATGGCCTAATCGTTGTCAGATTAGCTCCTTTTTGAGCGTTTGTGTATCCAAATCTCCCATTTCTTCACACGTCTCTGCCTGGATTGGTGTCCTTTGTTTGACCACCTCCCTCCATAAACAATACAACCACAGCTACCCCATCTTAATCCTCTCTTCTCATCTCTCGCCACTCTGTCGGAGCATTGCTCTAAGTAATTACCTCTCTCAGCCCAAAAGAGCAGAGTAATTGGCTAAATGTAACTACAGTGGCTCTCTGAAAGAGGGTCATTGTGTCAACTTCAATTCAGTGAATCACTTTGTTTTTGTTACAGAAGATAATGAAAGTATTTGCTTCACGGTCGTGTGGCATAAAACACAAAAAAATCCAACCTGAGGGTCAGAAGGATGGAGCTGCTTTTTGTTTTATTCCTTTATTTGCCATCTCAGAATTCTTTTGTAAAATAAAACCAGAGGAAAAATCATTTATTTACTCTTGAAAGCACCATCATTTTGAGGATCCTGCGCCAAGAATCTTACAGCAACATGTGCATTTATGAGGTTTCATGCTTCATCGTTATATTTACAGCATCTTTTACAGTCTTTTCACAAAAAGTCAGGAAATTCCGAAAGGTCATCTTCACCACGAGTCAGAAAAATCAACAAGTTATGAATATGTTTTCTTGTTAGTAAAATAGACATGGCGAAAAGTTACACGAATCATAGAAAATACATATAAATGTAGAAAAATAGCACACGTAACAAAATCTATACATTGTAATCAATATATAGTATGTACAAAAAAGTAGAAAGCCCTTATAATTACTTTGTGAAAATGTCACAAATAAAACAATGATACACAATTAACAATCACATTAATATTCAAGATCTATAAATAAAAATTTAAAAGAAAACATTTCTAAACTCCACTGTATAACTAATAAATAAGGAAAAAAGTTTTAATTTAATGTTTTTGTTTTTGGCCTGCTGTAACCATTCTTTGTTTAAGGCATAAAACTTCCTGCAGGAAGCAAGAAAACCTTCCATGTACATAACTTAAGGCATAAATTAGACTGTTCTTGTAAATATAGAAAAAAATTAAATTAGACATCAAAAGAAGCAAAACATAAAAGTGTAATACAACACCTGCAATATGGCGTCTTTGAGAACAAATAACTGAGACACTATTGATTGCCTCAGGATTATTGAATATGTATGAAAGTCCAGCTGTAAATCAGATTTTTCTCCAAGCATGTAACACTACATCTCTTCCATCATCCTGACCATAAATCCTGTTCTAAAGCCACTTTGTTTTGCAGCCTCAGAGCTCTTTTCCTTCTGCCTTTGCAGATTACATTTCCCCAGTGGTTTGTCTCATTTGAAAGGCAGAAAATGTGTGCAGACTGCTAAATGTCCACATGAGAATGTTTACTTTTATGTGTCTGAACAGGCATACTTTTGTGGTGCGCCTGCATGCATGAATGTGTTATATATGCTTACACATTTGCTCATGGTTTATTTTTGAGGATGCAAATGTCGACGTGTGCATGTTATATCAGTGTTCATATAATGGCTGGTGTGTGTGTGTGTGTGTGTATGCATGTGGAAGGCTGCATATAATTGTGCTTGCAAGTTTGTGGCTTGCATGACTTTGTGTGTGTGTGTGTGTGTGTGTGTGTGTGTGTGTGTGTGTGTGTGTGTGTGTGATTTTGAGAAAATGAAACACTTTCTACCTGCAATATGTTCAGTCATTTAGCAAAATAAGTCTTTCCAAACATTTCTTCATATTCTTTGTATGGTTTGAAGAAATAAATATATTTGATTATTTTAAAGAAAATTTCTTCCCCCATAAACTATAATGTAAAAAAAAATACACTGGAAAATGAAATGTTGAATTTACTTTACTACATTATGCCACTAAACCTAGTTTCTATAGATTTAGATCCATTGTTACACGTTGTCATGGTTAAAGTAAATCTATATCACTCCTGACATTTAGGTTTAGTGGAACCAGTTGACAAAACTTAGCTACATGAATTCAAAGTTTCATTTCTGAGTGTAGTATTACTTGGAAGACTTAATGGGGTCAGATCTCCAACAATCCACTGCTGTTCTCCACTCCATTAGCTGTGCCAGTCTTCTCATCTTCATTGGTGATTTGGTCAGCGACCGGGTTGGTGAGCACGGTGTTGGAGTTGAGCTCTGCGGTCTCCTCACTCTGAGGGTCCGCATCTCCCTCTACAGCTACAGCCTTACCCTGCATCGCTGAATCTGCGTGGGTCTTCTGATGCTTTGAGAGGTGGTCACTGCGTGTGAAGCGTTTGTTGCACAGCAGACATGTGAACTTCTTCTCCCGGGTGTGCGTGCGCACGTGCCTCTCCAGTTCATCTGAGCGGGTAAAACGCTTCCCACAGAACAACCAGTTGCAAACAAATGGCCTTTCGCCGGTGTGCCAGCGAAGGTGGGCCTTTAGGTGGGACGCCTTTCCATAGACTTTCCCACAGCCCGGGATGTGGCAGCTGTGGACCGGTTTCTTCCTGAGGGTTGCAGCTGAGGCTCCCAGCCTCTCCAGCTCCTGACAGTTGGGACAGTCACATGAAGACCTGCTGGGTGTACCCCCTCCGCTGTAGCCCCCTGATCCCCTAGAAGGCTTTAGGCCCATGGGATTCTCAATTAGACCTGCACTTGGAACAGGCTTGGGCTTGTACATGTCCTGGGGCAGCATGTGTTGGGAAGGCTGTAGGAGATGCGAGGAGGAACCCAGCCCCACGGAGGGGTATGGAGCTGGATTGAGAGGGGTAAAGTCGGAGCTGTAACTGGGCAGCTGTGGGCTAAGGGACGCCTGTGGAGCTACGGGCTGAAGCGAAGCCTGGAGGCCTCCATCGGATTGGGGCTGTGTAGCTGACAGCCAGTTGGTGTTGGAATGGACGTCCCACCAGGAGGTCGTGGCGTTAGCTGGAGCAGCAGTTATACCAGGATGGATTCCAGCTTTGTACCAGGAGCCGTAAGGGTGTGTCATGTCCAGGGAGGTATAAACACTGGCGAGACAGTCGGCCGTAGCGTGGGTCTTGGACACTAACAGAGAAGGATCCTGGGAGGCTGAGCTCTGGAAGGAGTGGGAGAAAGGGTTGTATTCGGAAGCGTAGCCTCCGGTGGAAGGAGGAGGGCTTCCAGTGGGAGTAAGCAGCCCACCTCCTCCACCAGCTGTGGTGAAAGAGCCAGTGTAGGAGTCCGCCAGGCCACTGACGTCCGCCGTCCGCCCATTCTTTGCTGTCTGCAGGTCAGAGGTCATGGTATATTGCTTCTTTAATGGTGAGCTGCTGGTTTTTCCAGGTGTGGCTGAATCCCTGATGGGGCTGGTGCTACCGAATTTGTTGCAGGTAGCAGTTAACATAGCCAGAGGACTGGAGCCATAGCGTGTGTCTTCCTGGAGGAGAGGAGACAACAAGGGGGGGTAATGAGACTGCCTGTCTGCAGGAAGTGGCGGCACGCTGCTACCGCTGCTTCTGGAAGTGTCAACTCTAATAAAGAACGCATGTCTGTCTGCCCTCGCTGGCCTTTTCTGCTCTTTTTATTTACAAACCAGTCAAGGTAATTTCAAGCACTGGATGTTTACACTTGTGAAGGTTCGGCTGCTCAGACAAGGAGAAACTTCCTCTGAATTTGTTGAACTCACTCTGAGTTTGGAACTTTTTTAATATTTCTGGAGAGGAAGCTGAACCTTTTCACCCAATTTTTAAAAAAGTATTTTAGATTATAACCTAATACATTATCGCACAAAATATTAAACACCCTTTTTTGCTTACAACACAGCAAATACTCTGAAATTATTAATTAATATAGTTGCTGTAGCTGACTATTTTGTAGTGATTGAAGTAGCTTTTGCTGTATTTTATAAACTACAATTCAAATTTCACGTGCAGAGATCTATTTGAATTTCTTTTCCTTCTGGATGTAAATTATCTCAGAGCTCTCCTCCCCATAGCAGTTTAACTATTTTCTTTATTTATGTTTTTTTTTTTTTTTTTTTTTTGGAATCACAGGAAAGAAATTGCAATAAAAAAGTTTTAAAATGTTGTTTGCTGTCAGTCCTGGTCTAGGGGGGAATTAAAACCAGATTTACGAACAGAAGCCGTACTTGATGGAAACTGAGACAAGAGGCTTAATTTATGTAAATTATAATAAAAGTCGCTGAAACTAAACAACATCCACATTGAAAATTGGGTTTAAAAAGATGAAGAGGTTTACTTACAATTACATTCCCTACCTCCAAAACAGATGCGGCCATCCCTGAGAAACTAAATCCTTAGGAAGCGGAGGGGAGCGGGAGAGGCGCAGCTCTGAGTCCCGGGACGGTTCGGATGAAGTCGGGCTCTAACGCGGGGAAGCGTTTTGAGGCGCTTTGGATCCGCCCCCTAATTATAGGCTGGAGGCTCTTTGAAGACTCGCTAAGAGGCAATAAAAAAAGGAAGAGAACGGGAGATGAAGGGAAACGGACGGAGACTGGTGGCTGAAAGGACATCCCACCTCCCCAAACGAGAGTGAATGGATTCCTCATCATTCACCACGTGGACCAAGTTTATGTTGCTTTATTTTTTTCTCCATTATTGAACTTAATAAACAATCTAATCATTCTCACAAATCATATTTGATGTTTTCTTATTTGAAAAGAAGAACAATGAAAAAATGAATAAATACGCATTTTTTCCCCTCTGAAACTTCAGAAATAACACAAGAATACAAAGACTTGGTCTTTGCCACATAAATTAAGTAAATGAAGCTGAGCGAGTCTGTGGTTTCTATATCCGAGGTTTTATTATTCTGGCTGAAAACCTCTCCCTGTTTCCAATATCTCTAACTGCCTTTTTAGTGGGATGGTTAAACAGGCTAAACTACAGAGACAAGTCAAGAAGAAAAGCATAAAGTTGGTCCATAAAATAAATAGGAGATTATTATACTGGTTAAAATAACATTTAAACACTAAGAAGGGGAAATGAGAACCTTGTTTAAAAACATTGAGTTCAGCATTTAAATATTAAAATTATCTGAAGAAAATATAAAAAAGGCTAAACAACATTGGCTTTGTAAATGCAAATCCACACCTATTATAAGCTTTTAAAGTGTTTATTCAACATTTTAGAGATTAACTGGAGAAACACTAAGTTCATGGGTAACACTTTACAATAAGGGCCCCCTTATTAACGTTAGTGCATTATTATGCATCAAAGGGTCCCTTTAGTAATGATACCATTATTGTTAACTGTTAAGGTTAGGAGACAGATCAGGGGGCTGTCTACTAGCCTAATGCATTACATAATATGGTTAAGCAGTTATTACTACTTTGTTTAATAGTTTATTAATGCTTAATAATGCACTAAATAATATAAATAAAGGAACTTTCATTGTAAAGTTTTACCCTTTTGTGAAAGACATTTTATACAAAAATCCCAGGAACAGACTAAATTAAAAATGAAGTCCCTTTTCAGTCTGAAAGAAACTAAACTGTATTTTTGAAGCAGTAAAAAGCCGGATCTCTATTTATTGGCAACAATTTTAAATCATGGAATGTCTTTTATCTGAGCCTCCTCTCTGAAATGACAGAAAGTGCTCATTTTGATTTATAACAAAGTTAAAAAAGCTGAAAACTCGACTTTCTGCCTCCAAAAGAAGACCGATTCTCAGCTCCTCTTGCTTTTTTTTTTTTTTTTTTGGTAGGCGTCTCGTTTTCTGAAGGAGAGCACAGAAGATTAAAATTGTTGTCAAAAATAAACATATAATTTCTGTCCTTATTTTCTCCTCAATTACAGGGCACGGTCAGAGCAGGGCTTGTCGTTCTGGAGAGTCTGGCCCTCACATGAACACAGCGGCTATATTTGGCAGTCTGCTCTGAGACTGACCTTCATCGCTTTATTTTCTTATTTCAGAACGGGCGCGTGTAAAGAACAAATGCATCCATCTATCCATCTATCTATCTATCTATCTATCTATCTATCTATCTATCTATCTATCTATCTATCTATCTATCTATCTATCTATCTATCTATCTATCTATCTATCTATCTATCTATCTATCTATCTATCTATCTATCTATCTATCTATCTATCTATCTATCTATCCATCCATCCATCCATCCATCCATCCATCCATCCATCCATCCATCCATCCATCCATCCATCCATCCATCCATCCATCCATCCATCCATCCATCCATCCATCCATCCATCCATCCATCCATCCATCCATCCATCCATTGCCATGTGTTACGTGGCGATCTTTTCACACTTTCTGAGGCATTTCCCTCCCCTCTCATTTGACTTATGGTCTGTCACTGATCTCTAAGTGAAATGTTCCTTTTTCTCTCTGGCGTTCATTAATGCTTTACATTCATGTGAAATGACAGGGAAGCAAAACTAAAGCTCACTGGCCACTGCAAAAGCGGTCTGCAGAAGGATGCTTTTCCCTGTTTTATTAGACTTGTTGTAATCTAAAACTTTGGCGTGTTCCAAGACTGTCGTCTTCAAAAGAGCACAAGTGAGATCTCTAATTAGAGAACGTGTTGAGCTCTTAACAGCCTCATCAAAACGCTTTCTCTGCTCTCTTAGCTGTGTGGCTGAGATTTGTGTTTTGAGGGGAGTAAAGGTGCAGCAGAGTTGGGTGGGCATGTTGTAGTGTCAAGTGTCAGTTGGTGTCTGACAAAAAGCTTGGCACTGAAACCAGTAACCCCGCAGATGCTTGTTGGCCTTGAAAGGCTAACTTTATCTTACTTTTACAGTTTTTCTCAGTTGCTTTGGTGCATTTCTCACAACAGAATTGATCTCTGCACCACTATTAAGACTTTTCTCAAACAATTAGTGCAAACTGCAAAACTTGGTGGATAACTTGCAAAAGTGAGTCACTTCATAAAAAAGAAAAGTCAGTTGCTCAAAGTAAGTAGTCAATGCTTCAAAAGCAAGTCCCTTAATCACAACAGATAATATATTCATCAAAAGCAAGTACTTATATCAATCAAAGTGTCAGGGCTGTCTCAATTAGTCATTACACCAGCACCTTTGGTCACAAAATCAAATGGTTTGAACGTGTTCTCATTGTGACAGATTTCTTTGTAGGTGCTTCCCAATGACATGTCAAGTCTGGACAGCATGCATGGCATGTTGAAAACCATAAATTGTAAAGGAAAAGCAAGACACTTCATATGCACTCTTGATAATATTTAATTGAAACTGTTCACAGCATTGTGCAACTGGGGAAATACAGTAAAACAAACATTTTACAGCAAACATAAACTCACTTGGACAGTAAACCTTACTGCAGTAGTTATGAAACAAAAAAAAACTGATCAGACACTGCTGCATATCAATCACTGATATCTACACGCTCCCGTCTGTTTGCCCACATATTTTCATCAACATCACAGGGAATGTCAGCTCCATCGATGCATCGGGGAAAGTATCTTCTGGAGTGGCGAATCCACCCTCTGCAGGTCTCTGCTGTGATGTCATCACAAGCTGCATCCATAGCTGTTAGCAGGGCCATTTGGGTATGTGGATGCCTGTCATATACCTTCCACCTCCAGGAAGAGAAAAAAATCCTCAGCTGGATTTAGGAATGGAGTGTAAGGAGGAAGAAACTCCATAAGCATCCTGCCGTGTGCTGCAAACCACTAACTGACTACAGCAGAGTGATGGAAGCTAACATTATCCCAAACCACTACATACATTGTCCCATTGTCATCAGGACACACACCAATTTTCATTGGTGTGATATAAGGTTCACCTGAGAAAAGTCATTTATGGAGATTTCCATGGAAACTCCTTAAAAGTAGGGTTTTCAAAATGGGTGTACAAATTGTTTGACAAGATGTTCAACAGTTTTGAGTGCAATGACAGGAGCAATGAAATGAAGACTATTAGTTGTAAGGAAAATGACTATTCAGCCGGTACAAGTGTCAATAATTATGACATTCATGATAAAAGCAAGGAGATAGTGATGAACAGCAAGTCAAAAGTGACCATTCTTTAGACATTTGTACTCAACTGCTTCATGTCCTAAGGCCTTGGACAAAATGAACATGAAACCGCTACTAGGTTGAGCCAAAACAACTACATGTTGTGGAGGTTGAACTAACTGCTGTGCAAAGTTTAATTCTGTTGTGAGAAATGCACCAAAGCACCTGAGAAAAACTGTAAGCCAACAGACCGACACCTTTCTGACTTGATCAGTCACTGATTAACACTTGTAGGTAACAGGAGCTTTAGCTTAAGTCGTTTTCTTGTTGGGAACAGAAGCTATGATGAAAAGAAGAGGCGGTACCGTCTCCCAGAATGCAGCACCGATACTAACAGATCATTGACTTACCCGTCTACCGTTCTTTGTGACCTCATGTTAAAGGACTTTCAACAGTAAAGCAAACTGGTTTGAGTGTGTATCTTATTTTGGAACAAATAATATGTTATATATATATATATATATATATATATATATATATACATACACACATATACAACTGTCGGTAAACCAAATAGCTCCTTGGGGACATTTAAACTACATTACCACATAGGATCGATCATTTGATTGCATCTGCAGCGCTTCGAGTAGCTTCACAGTGTTACTGACTCATTCTGTAACCATTTGCACTTGATTTACATACTTTCCAGGTTTCTTGAGCTCTTGCTGTCTTTGTTGCAGAGAGACACTTGCTCGTCTTCTAAACCGCTTAGTCCCCTAGGGTGGCAGGAGAGCTGGTGTCGACCTCCGACGGTCATTGGGTGAGACGTGGGGGGACACCCTGGACAGGCCACCAGTTCACCAAGGGGACACATAGACATACTCAGTCACACCTAAGGAAATTTACAAGTATCCAACTAACCTTTTATGCATGATTTTGGCCTGTTGGAAGAAGTTGGATTACCTGAGGAATGCCACGCATGCATGGAGAGAACATGGATTTAAACATTCAACCTATTGCTGCAAGGCAAAAGTGCTATCATCTATCTATCTATCTATCTATCTATCTATCTATCTATCTATCTATCTATCTATCTATCTGTCTATCTATCTATCTATCTATCTATCTATCTATCTATCTATCTATCTATCTATCTATCTATCTATCTATCTATCTATCTATCTATCTATCTATCTATCTATCTATCTATCTATCTATCTATCTATCTATCTATCTATCTATCTGTCTGTCTGTCTGTCTGTCTGTCTGTCTGTCTGTCTGTCTGTCTGTCTGTCTATCTATTATCCATCTATCTATCTATCTATCTATCTATCTATCTATCTATCTATCTATCTATCTATCTATCTATCTATCTATCTATCTATCTATCTATCTATCTATCTATCTATCTATCTATCTATCTATCTATCTATCTATCTATCTATCTATCTATCTATCTGTCTGTCTGTCTGTCTGTCTGTCTGTCTGTCTGTCTGTCTGTCTGTCTGTCTGTCTGTCTGTCTGTCTGTCTATCTATTATCCATCTATCTATCTATCTATCTATCTATCTATCTATCTATCTATCTATCTATCTATCTATCTATCTATCTATCTATCTATCTATCTGTCTGTCTGTCTGTCTGTCTGTCTGTCTGTCTGTCTGTCTGTCTATCTATTATCCATCTATCTATCTATCTATCTATCTATCTATCTATCTATCTATCTATCTATCTATCTATCTATCTATCTATCTATCTATCTATCT